CGTCTTTTTGCTCGCTCTCGATAAAATTGCTTTTTATTATTCCTTTGCACAGTTTTTCCAGTGGGTCAGAGCTGGCCTCACCGGTAACATGGGGTAGAGCGATTAGAGGTCTAAGGAGGACCCCGTGTGAAGCCTTTTCCAGCCACCACCTCCCAGGCACGCAGGGCCCGGGCATGTTTTGTGCAGCTCTGCGCGTGCAAGAACAGCGGATGTGGGGTAAGTGCTTGTGCAGCCCCTCTCTAGGGTGCCCTGTAAGGAAGCGGGTGCTGCCCCATCCCTGGGGCTGTTCAGAGGCTCGCAGTGCATCTGGGACTGTCAACCAAAACACAGCTTTTCCAGATGGAATTTTAAAGCTGGGAGTGCAGGAAGGGGGCCTGGCCTTGCTGCTTGACACACGGCATTCGCTGTTAGAGGCAGCAGTGCCTGGGCCTGCCCCCAAGCACGCGTGAAGCCTCTGGCCCCAGCCTCGAGGCACGAGGCCACGCTGGGGCTGCAGCACAGGCTGTTCAGGGAGCAGAGCCCAGCCCAGAGCGCAGCCATCCCTGTGCCCCTCGCTCTGCTCCAAAGGCGGTAGTCAAAGAGGAGGTGAGTGACCCACGCAACGCGCACTCTGTGCTTTGATCTTTTTATTTAGGGCTCGTAACAAGAGGGTTTAGTACACAGCAACAGTTAATTCCAAGTACAATTAAAAAAATTTAAAAATTGGGTTTTGCACTCACTGGAAGGTGGTTCAAATGGCACACACAATAAAACATTACTGGCGGCATACAGCTCCCCAGAGTCCTGCGGGCTTCGTCATGAGCGTTCACAGTGGGCTCTGCTCACAGCCACTGCACCAGCAGTGCCAGAATCCAAAGCACACGAGTGCTTCTCCTCTGACCGGAACTGAAGGGGGGAGGGTTCTGCTTTCAGAAAAAAAGTGCACGGACAAAATCCATGTTAGACACTGACATTTCCAGAGAATTCATAGAAACTACTTGTCCATGCAAGTTGCAAAAGACACTTTTTTCAAATGTGAAAAGAAGCACTTGTTCTTTACAAAAAAAAAAAAAAACTCAGACATGTGAGCACTTTAGCAACGTGCTGTAATGGAAATGAATTTGTACACAGCTCTTCCTTATTAGTCAAGAGTGCAAGATTTTCTGAGGTTTTAAGAGAAACAGGAACAAATGCACTGCACACACTTCAGCAGAGTCACCATGTAGGTAGGTGTTCACAGGTTGCTGGGTGTAGGGCTACCTCTGGACAACAGGCTGCTGCCGACTACCCTTCCTAACACCTGCCTAGTACTATGCAAAGGGACTAATAAAATCAGCACGTTCAGAGTACCAGAGAAAAGCCACTTCCTGCAGGAAGCTGCTCAAAACACGGTCTGAGTTTTTCTGAACAAAAGCAACAGAACACCACGGACGGTGTCTTTGCACCAACGGTTGGCAAACCTTGGCCACATGGGACACGAGCTGATGGGCCCTCTGTTCCTGCAGTGCCCAAGTGGTGAGAAGGGCATCAGTAGCACTGTACCTACATAGTGACATCAGCTACCACATTTAAGGGTCCCCTCACCCTACTGTCATTTCTAAGCATCTTCTCAGCCACCAAATGTTGCTACACCTAATGCTGCGTGATGCAGAAGGGCGGGGAAAGGGAAGATGCTGCCTGCGAGCACAGTGAGCTCTCCCTAAGCTGTATGCCATCGGATACCTGCAAGTTCCCAACGCTGCCTTTCCTAGGACCAAATAATACGGATTAAGTAAAACATTTGCTTTTGTGACTGCAACAGCTTGGCACCTTTCTCACTGCCCCTGCTAGCAACACAGGAACTAAAGCCGCCTGCTGTAGCTTTTGCATTATGTTTTCCAAAAATGCGCCAGAGGCTGGAAAGAGCGTAATGGCAGCTCCGTGCTCTTACCTACAGCGTCCTCCAGCTGCCCTGCAGAATACAAACTCTTGCCTCTTTCACAAGAATTCCCATCCCACATGGAGGAGGCTACCAAAAAAAAAAAAAAAAAGAACACTCTGGGAAGCAAAGTCCTGTAAAGGCTTCCAGGTAACTTGGGCAGCATGAAGTCCTGTCCTTTCTCATACAGGAACATCAAAGTTTCCCTTTTAAGCCAGAAGCCTCAGAACTAGCTAAAAAAGAGTCCCCAGTGTCAGGGAAGAGGCACGTGCAGAGCACTCACGAGGAAGTGCTGGACTAGCACAGAGTGGCCCCCGCACCCAGCGTGGGAGAGGCCCAACGAGCGCTGCACAAACCAGGGAGGTGAGCCCGGAGGTGGAGCACAGACTCGCCTTCCTCTCGCAAC